AGAGAGGGGAGAGGGGAGAGGGGGGAGGAATGAGAAGAGAGAGGAAGGGGGGAGGGAGAGGGAGAGAGAGAGGAGAGAGAGAGAGGGGGAGGAGAGGAGAGAGGGGGGGGGGAGAGAGGGAAGAGAGAGAAGGAGAGAGAGAGGAGGAGAGAGAGGAGGAGAGGAAGGGGGGGAGAGAGAGGAGGAGAGAGGGGGAGTGAGAGAGAGGAGAGAGGAGAGAGAGGAGAGAAGGGGAGAGGGGGAGGGAGGGAAAGAGGGGGAGGGAGAGAGAGAAGGAGAGAGAGAGGGGAGAGAAAGAGGAGAGAGAGAGGAGAGAGGAGAGAGAGGAGGGAGAGAGGAGAGAGGAGGGGAGAGAGGGGGAGAGAGAGAGAGGGGGAGGAGAGAGAGGAGAGGAGGGAGAGAGAGGAGGAGGGGAGAGAGAGAGAGAGGAGAGAGAGGAGGAGGAGAGAGAGGGGAGAGGAGAGAGAGGGGAGGAGGAGGAGAGAGAGAGAGAAGGGGAAGGAGAGAGGAGGAGAGAAGGGGGGAGGGAGAAGAAGAGGGGGAGAGAGAGGAGGAGAAGAGAGGAGGAGGGGGAGAGAGAGGAGGGAGAGAGAGGGGGAGAGAGAGAGGAGAGGGGAGGAGGGGAGGAAGAGGAGAGAGAGAGAGGAGGAGGAGAGGAGAGGAGAGGAGAGAGGGGAGGAGAGGAAGAGAGAGGAGAGAGGGAGAGAGGAGAGAGAGGAGGGGGGAGAGAGAGGAGAGAGAGAGAGGAGGGAGAGGGAGAGAGGAGAGGGGAGAGAGGGGGAGAGAGAAAAGGAGAGAGAGGGGAGGGGAAAAGGGGAGAGGGAAAGAGAGAGGGAAAAAGAATGGGGAGAGGGAGGAGAGAGAGAGAGGAGGAGAGGGGGAAGAGAGAAGGGGGGGGATGAGAGGAGAGGGGGGGGAGAAGGAGAGGGGGAGAGAGGGGGAGAGAGGGAGGAGGAGAGAGAGGGGGAGAGGGAGAAAAAGAGGAGGAGAAAAGGAGGAGGGGGAGAGAGGAGAGAGGAGAGGAGAAGGAAGAGGAGGGAGAAGGGGGAGAGGGAGAGAGAGGAGAGGAAAAAGGGGGGGAGAGAGAGGGGAGAGGAGAGAGGGGAAATGGAGAGGGGGAGGGGAGAAGGAGAGGGGGAGAAGAGAGAGAAGGAGAGAGGAGGGAGAGAGAGAGAGAGAGAGAAAAAAGGGGGAGGGGGGGCTAAAAAATATTGGAATGTCATTTTGACGGATAACGGGAAAAAAGGGGGACATGATAACCATAAAAGATTATACAAGAAAAAAGAAAGTTTTTTTATGTACATTTCCCCAACAGCTTTATTTGGTAGAACAAGAAGCCATACCTATAAACTAAGGAGGTGGCAGCAATGAAAGAATACTGTAAGTTTTTTCTTTGTAAACAATTGCTAGAGCAATGGAATAGGTTACAAGAGGTAGCAAGTACTACCTACAATCATTGAAAAAATACACAACTTTATATGACAAAATTATGAAGATGGGATACCACATGATTAGTGCTGCTCCTGTAGCTGCAAATAGGGAATTATATTAGAGTGCAAACTTTAAAAATATAAATGGAAGAATATTTAATACACTTAATGAATTAATACAAAAAGTTAACATGAAAAACCAGATTATAATGGGGGATTACATATATAGGATATAAACTTGATAAAGTATGTAACCGAAACAGAAAATAAACGAACTGTGCTTGCTTGTTTAAAATATTGTTCAGTGTTGACGATGGCTCCGTTCAAGGCAGAATAGATATCAGAGCTGGAAAAGGTACGGAGGATTACTTACTGGCTGCACAGGGCCAATAAATCATTTAATCTATTATGAATTTCTCAAAGTACCTGGAATGGAAATACTTTCTGAAGCAGACATAATACCTGATAATATATGTATTTATAAGAGATCTACATATAACCATAACAATTAGCTGGAGTACACAATATGGAAGTGTAAAATAGACCAAGTGTAAATCAGGGGCACTATGGGCACAATAAGAAAACACTTCCAACAGCCATGGTCCAGAACTAATCAACCTGTTACCAGCAGATATGAGAACAAGTGCACAAGTTCTCAAGAGGAAACTGGATCACTATCTCAGTGAGGTGCCATATCAACCAGACTGATGGTTATGCAAGCCAGCAGGCTGCCAACAACAATAAGCTGGATGAATGGTCAGATATAAATAAGATACAGAATAAAATAAGTTTTAAAACATATGTGAAAATGGAACATGACAAACTAGTGAAACAATGCAGGACTCTCAGGAATATTTAATAATGAGAAGTTAAAAATTTGGTGCTGTAAGCATAAAGAACAAGACATGTATAATAATATGCAATATTAAAAAAAAATTAATACTGAAAGGGTTTAAAATATCTGAATAAACAATAGGTAATGCATGCTTTTTTTTATTAGGCTTAAAATGGCACATAATTTTTTTTTTTTTTTTGAAGAGCACTTAATGAGTTCCAAAATACTCCAGTTATCATGTACAAGAGCAACTATTTTGAAGTGTAGTTTAAAAATTCCATAAAGAAATAATACAAGCACAAGTAATATAAATATACATTTATTTATCAGTTATACAGGTTGAAATCCAGGTAAAAGTATGACTAGTGTACCACAACTACTTTCTAACAGGAAAAAAAAAAAATTAAGTAACCCTGCTTGCTGCTATTTGAAACTTTTTCTAAAGGCAATACTAAAAACTAAAGGATTAAGAAATTTCTTACAAAAAAAAAAAATAACATGAATGGTCAATTAATACAGTGGACCCCCGCATAACGATCACCTCCCAATGCGACCAATTATTTAAGTGTATTTATGTAAGTGCGTTTGTACGTGTATGTTTGAGGGTCTGAAATGGACTAATCTACTTCACAATATTCCTTATGGGAACAAATTCGGTCAGTACTGGCACCTGAACATACTTCTGGAATGAAAAAATATCGTTAACCGGGGGTCCACTGTACTGGGTATAAATAAACAATCCCCTATTCCATGTCCAAGATCATATGGGGCCAGTTTCTTTAAAATTTAACATTTACCTAATTTTACCACTGGATCAAGAGACATTTTAACCCCTTCAGTGTTGGTCCTGTAATACAACAGCTTTGAACCCAGTGTCGGTCCCGAAATACTACACCAAAATTCTAGCGGTTTCAAATCTGGCGGGAGAAAGCTGGTAGGTCTACCTGTGAGAGAATGTGCCTGCGTGGTCAGTGCGTGCAGTATAAAAAACAATCCTGCAGCATGCAGTGCATGAGAAAAAACTGACTGTGGTTTTGGTTTAAAACAGCAACTGTGTGGTGTATTTTTGTATGGTTTTTATGGTTGTATTCTCGTTTTCTTGGTAACATTTGATGGAATTGAACATAGTATATTACAGAAATAAAGATGATTTTGAATGGTTTACATATTAAAGTAGCTTGAAATTGAGCTCAAATTAGTGGAAATGTTCGATTTTTGCTGATGTTCAAGAGTAAACAAATCACGTCACGAGTCCAATACACATCAACTGGTGGGTCTAATATGCATTCACAAATGCGCTGATATTATTTATACAATTATTACAATAATGCAGTATTCTGCATAAAAGCAAATCTTCTATTTTTTGTGTGAATAAAAGTAAAAAGTGAAAAGCGAGTGTAATTAAGAGAGGCCTGGAGATATGACTAATGAACAGAGAAAATGTTATGTTAGTGCCAGGAATGTCTGCACTGTTTATTCTAGACCCAATTTTGAAATTGGCCTTTCTTGAACTGTGTGTGAAATTGGCCAAATTAGTAATTTCTGATCACCTTATTGGGTAGTTGAAATAGGTAAATGAGCAGTTTCTTGCAGTCAGTTGATAGAATAAAAGGAGTACTAGCAAAATAACTGAGTTTGGTCAACTGGAACAGTGGAATTGGCCCAAAATAGTGCTCAACGTGGGGGAAATCGCCGATGCGTAAATATTGCCGAGACTGTGTAATTCCATAAGTTTTCTATCAAATTTTGTTCTTTTAGTTTTATTACCTTAGGAAAAAGATTCTCTATCATTTCATAAGATTTTTTTTTTTCTGAAAATTCTTCAGCCCTGAGAGCAAGTTTGTGAGTAGGGGTTGTGACACTCAAAAGGTTAAAGGATACAACTGCTGAGTTATTAACTGAGATACACAGAAAAATACTCTAAGAGCACTTCAGTAGCCAATCAGTAATAAATGATTTACAAAAATCTCAGAACAGTAAATTTCAGGCATTAGGTATATTTTCTCCAACAAGCTTATGGAGGATTAAGCCGTCACAACTTAAGCTGAACTGACTACACTGATCCAACATTCCAGAGAAAATATAATAAAAATACACACTAAACTATGTATACTTCAAGAAAAAATCTATCAAAGACAAATTTTAAATACAAAATGTACTGTATCCACAAATACTGTATTCATTAGCCAAAATCTACTGATAAAAATAGAACAGGAATATAAGGGTCATATTATGAATATGTTCATGCTATGATTCAATGATTCCTTACAAGCAAAGTAACATTAATACTGTTTATATGTAAGAGATCAATCAAATACTGTATAATATATTGTAAGTTATAAGAGATTACCTGATTACAGGATAGAAAAAAATTAAAATACACAGTAGACACACACACAATGAAACATACACACAACAGCTGTCTTTACAGTACTCATGTTAGGAGAGGATTCACAAACCTTCAGCAACATACACAAAGACAAGAGACTTCAAAATATACAGGTCAACATACTAAATATAATTTAGTTGACCATTTCGGCAAAGAAATATTTGAGGCAGGCCATGAGAAGGCAGTGATGATGTTGATACTTGGGATCTTACTGAAGGCTAACTCATTTACTTCTTCGCAGGACACAGATGCTATTATCATCCTCAAGCGAGATAGCGAGTGATGCTGCAGATATCAGATTGCCATGCGAGACTTGAGTAGTCAGCCTCATTCCTTGAAATGTAACTGTAATATTTACTGTATTATTAGTAATATGATTTATTTGTGAAGTTACAACTGCTGAACAGTACAATCAAAATAAATCAGTCTCAGTCTTGACAGAAGACTACCTCCCAAAAATGTCATACAATATCTACATAAAAAGTGACTTTGCAGATATTCTGACAATGCTCCTAGAAGCCCAAAGAAAGTCCTAAACTACAATTTTGTTAAGAATTTTTCAAGTTAGCATGAAATGTGAAATTCCTTTAAAGGCATTCAGCCTGTTCATTTTCTTTACAAAGTTATCAACTTATTTTGCTGAAAATTTCTATGCTAAATTATTATAATAGGTAATTTAAAGAAACTCTCATTCCAATCTAAATGGCAGTTTTGGAATTAGTATGCTTTTCTTTCCTTAATTTTTTTAAAAAATTGCCTTTATAGCATTATTTTAAATTATGTACTGTACTGTCTGACTTCTTCACCGACACAAAAACAACTGACGAAATTCAAGTTTTACAATAATTTGATTGCAATCTTTAACGTATGTAAATAAAGATTTTGTTTGGATTTTTACCCCAGAGGGTTAGCTACACTGGATAATCCAAGAAAGTCAGTGCGTCATCAAGGACTGTGTCTTATTTCCACTGGGGTCCTTAATTCTTGTCCTCCAGGATGCAATCCACACCATTCAACTAACACCCAGGTACCTACTTGCTTGCTAGGTGAATGGGGACAGCAGGTGTAAAGAAACACACCCATTATTGCCACCCTTGCCAGGGATCAAACCACGAACATTCAGTGTGTTGAGCGAGAGCATTGCCTACCAGGGCGAGGGACACTTAACTCAATTGTTTGTATATTCTTACTATTTTCTAGCTTAAGAGACACGTAAGTACCTGTCTTCTAATAACACATTCATTTTTCCCCTATAATCTACCTTTTCCATAATCGCTATCATATTTGCTTTGTCTGTTTCGTAAAGTGAAGTCTAGGATTTTTCCTTAATTCATGGTATAACTTAACAAATCTTTGAGGACAATTGTGTTGTAGAGGTCTGAGCTGTGCTCAGACCTTTACAACATAACTCTCCTCATGAAACAAACAAAGCAAATGCGATAGTAATTATGGAAAAGGTAGATTATAGGGGAAAAATGTACATGTTATTAGAAGACAGGGGTACTTACGTACCCCTTAAATCTTACCCAAACATAACAAGAACAAAGAACTTCACAAAAGTCATTATGCTATTACATTATCTATCAAGCTTTAACATTTATATAACATTCTGGTTTGTTAACCCTTAAACTGTGCACGACGTATACAGGATATATGTGCAGGATCTTCTTTTTTGTGGGTACAACTTATATAAACACAAATTTTTATAGGCCTCACAAATTTGATGCCAGCTAATATTTAGGCCTCAGTTCAACTGTTTGGGTGTCCTGCCACCTTGTCGCACCTTGGATAAAACATACAAGCCAGGCAGGTAAACAGTGTATCATGACTAAGAGTACCATGGTCTTTATAAAGTGTGTGACATGCCACTCTGCTTTTATTCATCTTCGTTTTTTTTTTTTTTTTAATTTTGGCATGTGTACATAGCATTTTTTTTTTTTACAATGGTCAAGAGGGCACATAAAAGAGCACATTACAGCATATGTATATTTTTAATAGGGGTATGCCAAAGTATCGGTGGGTATCGGGTAATTTTGAAAGTGTTGATATCAGCCTAAAACTGAGTATCAGTGGATAACAGCTAATTTTGGTGGTGTTGGTCCTGGCAAAAATATTAGTATTGTCCCATCCCTAAATTTTAACCCAGGATATCTTAAGAAAGTCAAACAATGGGACTTATTTCCATGTATTGAGAAGTAGCACATCCTGAATCAATTGTAATATCATAACACTTCTTGAAGGAACAAAAAGTACATTACAGCCTATATTTTTAACCCCGAATAACCCAATCAAGTCAAACAATGTGACTTATTTCCACATGTCTAAAGGTATTATGGCTGAATCAATTGTAATATCACAGGATTTCCTTCACATAGTGTTAGAAGACAAAGACAAAAGCAATCAGATGAAATATGGAAAAATAATTATTTTTGCTAGAATTCTTCCTCTGTAAGCCATGCATGCTGTAAAAGATGACTAAAATGCCAGGAGCAACGGGCTAGTAACCCCTTCTGTATAAATTACTAAATTTAAAAAGAAAAAACATTTTTTTCTTTTAAGGTTGCCCTGCCTTGGTAGGATATGGCTGGTTTGTTGAAAAAAAAAATTATTTATGCTAATTTATACTGTATATTCGATGAGGGGGTTATATTAGATAAGAATCTTCCCATGTTTGGAGTACTAAAACACCTTGAAATACATCTAGTATCATAAGAAACTAGTGTACATAGTGTTAAACACCAATCATTCAACAGGCCATAAAAATGTTAAATGATTATCAGATTGTATTTGTCTTATTCTGAGAAAAATGTGCACTTTTAATCCTTTTTTTTCAGAATTTTGCTACACCTCCAGCACTTTTTACTTTTGGGCATGCCACAGTTTAAGGGTTAATAAATAAATAAATCATTTTACAGTTCAAGATACAACAGACATTTACATACCAAATTTCTCTTTTAGTTCATCTTCACTGCTACTTTGCATACATTTCCAGTTTCCTAGTTTTCCTAAATTTCTAACCAGAAGCAGCGTAAATGCTTTAAGGCAACCTAGGGAGGTATGCCCTGCCTCCTATTCTACTAAACCTCACAATACATACAATTCTTTATATCCTTAAATTACAATAAATGTCCCTACCTCCCCAGAGGCTTGGTCTGGTATCAGGCCAAAGGTAGTGACCTCTGGAAAAGATTACATGCAACTCTATAGTTCAACTCCCTCTCAATATCAGCACTGCCGAGCCTAATGGGTGGTCAAGAATTAAAAACAGAACTGTGAGGTACAATGAACATCTGCAAAAGAAATATAGCCAAATACAAATACTTAACCCCTTGACTGTCGCAAGCCCAAATCCTGAGGTGTCTCCTGGTGTCGCAAAATTTCCCCCCAAAAAATAAATTCTTATGAAATGATAGAGAATCTTTTCCCGAGTGTAATGACACCAAAAGAACGAAATTTGAAGGAAAACTGACGGAATTACGCTCTCGCGAAGTTAGCGACCTTGGCAATATTTACAAATCGGCGACTTCACCCACTTTGAGCCCTATTTTCGGCTAATTCCATTGTTCCAGTCGACCAAACTCATAGCTATTTCTTTAGAACTCCATTTTTGCTATCGAATGAGTACAAAAAGCTGCCTGTTTACCGATTTCAACTACCCAATAATGTGGTCAGAAATTTGCAATTTGGCCAATTTCACGAAAATTAAAAAATATGACAAATTCAAAATAGGGTCCAGAATGAACAATGCAGACATTCCTGGCTCTAAAATAACGTTTTCTTTGTTCATCAGTCACGTCTCCAGGCCCCTCTGATATTTCTCTTGCTTTCTATTTTGAATTTTTATTAAAAAAAAAAAAAAAAAAAAAAAAAACAGAAGATTTACTGTTATGCAGACTACTGCAATATTGTAATAATTGTATAAATAATGTCAACCCATTCATGACTGCATATTAGAATGGCTACTTGGACATATATTGGAAAATGACATCATTTGTTTACTTTTGAACATTGGCAAAAATCAAACATTTCCCCTACTATGAGCTCCATTTCAAGGTTCTTCTCATAGTAAAACCAATCAAAATTACCTCTATTTCTATAATATGTTTATCAGTCTATCAATTGAGACCAAGAAAACGAGAATACAACTATAAATACTATACGAAAATAGACCACAAAGTCGGCATTTTAATTAAAAAAAAAACGGAGTTTTTTTTTTCTCATTATGCACTACGTGCTGCAGGTCGTTTTTTATATGGTGCACACTGACCACACAGACCCTTTCTCTCACATGTGGGCCTACCAGCTTTCTCCTGCTTGATTTGAAGCCGCTAGAATTTATGAGTATATATACGTCAAAAACGGTGGCTCGTAAGACGTATGTTTACGACCAAAACAGTCAAAGGGTTAAGCCTCAAAGATGATCAAACAGCTAGAGTATATCCAAACCAGTTCATAGTACTGGGCAGCTAACTCCCTTTCTTTGTGGATCCTGGTGGATCAAAATGCAGGATGCATCAGATGAAGTCTCATCTGATTAAGGTTACTTGTTAACCTGAATATGTACAATAAAATAGTCAATCATTTATTTCAATGCACCAACAGTCTTCCACCACGGTAGGGCCCCCCCCCCCCCAAAATAACAACCATCATTCATTCATAAGTTATCTTGCCCAGAACTGCATAGACATCACAATTCATACGATCCTCCAAACTGGGAGGCCTGGTCTGGAAGTAGGCCACAAAGCCAGTGATCCAGGAACTATCTACGTGAATTATCTAGAGAAAATCCCCACCCCTCTTTCAAAGCACAGACACTGTGCTTCCCACCTCCAGGACCCAAGTCTCAAGGTTTCCCTAACTACCTACATAATGCTACCTTGCTGATGCTAACAAACAATAACAAGTAATTATTGTTAAATCTATTACAAGCCTTCCCCAAAAAACCTGCTGTAATGTGAAAGACAGCTTCCATGGAAAATGTGGCATTTTGCAGCTAAGTAGCTTTTAGGTGTAGTTGTGTGGCTATTAATAATAAAAAATAATTCAACCCTGATCAAGCCAAGGAACCAGGAAGAGCAGTAGCAGATTGCTGGTGTAAAAAAAATATCACTGCTGAATTGTGTAGGTGAACACTGTCCTACAAGCTGAGATCTCATATTTCATCCCCAACACATGTAATATCTTTTGCCTGGGGAAAGTTTTCTTCACAATGAAAATACAACATGAAGGTAAAAATAAGTGCTGAAGAAGATTTACTATCACAGCTTTCAAAAACCTATAAGTTGTTTGTCCATACACAACAAGAAACTCGACAGAGCATTGCCACAAAAGACCTAGCAACACAAGCCATTGATAACTCATTACTAAATGCCAAATACTGTACTCAGGTCAGAAAATCTGTAAAATTTTGTGAAAGAGCAGCTAGTTTTGAGTGAGAACAGTTAAGAAGTCTGAAATACATACCATTCCATAACCCTCTATTAAAGAAAAATGCTATAATCTTCTCAGTTTTATATAATATGAAGAAGAGTATTAATGAAGATAAACAAAATATTGAAAGCTGACAAAAGCATACTGCAACATCTTGTAGGTGTTCGAGAGGCTGGCCGAGTAACTGATAGCAAGTGATGCCTCTACCAATCTCTCTTGCTGTAATGAATGGGTCACTCCACAGCACGAACAAATCCATGTTTGCAGATATTTTCACTGAAGGTATAGACTGTCCTTAATCTATTCAACTGCTTGAAGAATCATCTTGTCTGATAATAGATGGTGAAGCGTTGTCAGCATAGGATTGCCTGCAAATGCATTGACTTTTGGTGATCTAGAAGATGTATGCCTCAAAACTGTACTCAGGCAACAAGAGAAAAAAAGTCTTTGAGAAACAAACACATTATTCAATAGTCTGGAAAAAGGTCAAGGAGAAATAAAGAAAAATAAGAGTACAGGTGCCCCTTGTTTTATGCAGTAGATGTGTTGTGAACCCATGGCAGCTGTACTAACCTCAGTCATGCCATTAACATTTAATGTCACAACACAAGTCTTCAACTCGTTTTGCGTACTGCACCAATCATATACATGTATAGTGAATAATGCACATCACAAAGAAATGCCAATAGAAATGGGACATCACAAAACGGTGACTTCTCAAAAACTCAACCCACATAAAGTGAGGGGAAACCTGTACTGTATTCAACCTGGTAAGGCATGTTGTGGAAGGTCATCATGCTTCTTTGCCAAAGCCATGATAAAGGTCTAAAGTTCTACCAGATAAAATGACACATGTAAGTTAATTTTTGAGCAAATCCTGAAATTATGGCTGCTGGAAGCTTCGTACACTGGATGCTTGTAAAGTCATTATATGAAAACACTTATGCAGGCACAAAAACCGTTCATCATGATATACTACCAGTCTACATAGATGCTCTTATTTAATAAGATATTTTTCTTCTGTTACCAGGCTTTATTTTCCTGATTTAACTATAAAATATTCCTAATGAGAATGACTGTCAAGGTAGAGAAAATAAATATGTATTCCTTAAGCTGTATCTGTAATAGTTGTGAGGACCGCTACACCCTCAGTGTTGAACAGTCCACCATCAAACCAAGCACTTCCTTGACTCTTTTCTTTCATGCACTAACTGAGGATGATGATGTGAATGTACAGTACCCTGTATGCATATACACTATGTAATTACCCATATGTAGCTACAGGAGCAGAGCTATACTCGGGTAGTCCCATCTTCAATACGCACTCTGTTCGTCACAATTTTTAAAGAATTCCAATAGTTGCAGCACTAAGTCCTCTTTTAATGCATTCCACTGGTCAACCATTATTTAAGAAGAAATTTTTCTATTTTTTCCATTCAACTTTTTCCACAACTTGAGTGTGCTTGTGTGGATGTAAGCACATGTGAGTGTGTGCGTGTCTTTCATTTCTTTTGCTCCAAAGTATATTCTATATAAAAAATTCTCAGAGTTCCCTCTACCACTGCAGTTTCATTTCATTTTAACAAAATTATATTGAGAATTCTATGTATAGATAAGTATGAAAAAAGATATAGCTGTATAGATACTGCAAGGGAGATAGGATATGCTGTACACAAATGTAGGATAATTTTTCACAAAATTGCATCTTTTAACCTGACAGACTGAAAAAATACAAAACTCATTAATTCATAAAAGTAGTTAAGACTCAACAGACTCTTACATTTACCAACATATACTGTAACTCATTATACTACTGTTATAAAACTGTTAATCAAACAAAATGCAGTATAAATACATTTGGTACTTCATAAAAAATACAAACATTTACAAGAAAACAGATGGAAACAGTGTATAAATACTGTTTTATAACCACTGAAGTTTACAAGCAGTCTGTCAACTGTATTATGACCCATGCTTCTGAAATTACCATAGTTTACTACACGTCTCTTCTTAAACCTTTGCACCACCATTACTATAAATTTAAGAGATGACATTTTCTTGCCAGAAGGTGGTGGTTCATTTTTCTGAGATAGCCATGATGATGATGATAATGCTGATCAAGATTGAGAAATCAAAATATCCTAATTTCAACAATCCTATCTATACACCCCCTCATAAAATGGACAATCCTACATTGTTTTTCTTGTTAATTGCAACTCACATGGTGCTGCAGGTCCACAGAACAGCCCAGGCTAATCTGCATGTGCCCTTAGTGCTGTCATGTATCAGGAATTAGGGACTAAACAATCAAGTGACTGGTGATTGTATCCACACCTCCTGTTATCCGCATGGAAACTTTGATGTTGTACAACACCTTGAAGTCATCTGCAGCGAAGGGGTTAGGAGATCCATCCCCTCTGCAATAAAGCTTTCATTGAAATGTTGAAAATAAGGAAAATCCTATTTATAAAATACTACACATATGAAGAAAATAATAATGATTCTTTAAAACCAGGGTAACAACCTGCTTTTAAAAAATGACCTCCACATTGGATTAGAGGTTTTAGGAATTGCCTAAGATTAATTTGTACAAGTTGGTGCCTTTAAAAACTTGCTTCTGAGGAACACACAAAGCACTCTCGACAAAGAAAACATTAACAATTTATAATTTCGTTCTCTAATAAATCTGCTTCATCTTATCCATGGTATTAAATGCACAAGGCATTTAATACGATAGATACCTTGTGCATTCATTAGTAGTATTAATTTTTAATGCACCAGCCATCTCCCAGCAAGGAAGAGTGACCTAAAAAAAAAAAGCATTCACCATCATTCATTCAATGACTGTCTTGCCATAAGTATGCAATTCTTTGAGAGAAAGGTCAGCTAACATAATTACTCTCAGGTCCACAAGCTCCTTTTCTTCTATTTGGTGATCCTCTTGGGTTTTGTATGTGGTGTCCCTATTGAGCTCTTCATTCTTTCTATGTCCAAGCAGCAAGAGCTTATCATCAGTGAACTTCATGTTATTCTCCAATGCCAAGTGGAAAGCTTTGATTACATCTTCATGCAGTTTTTTTGTGTCTGACCAATGCTATCAATGACTTCTTTGAAGTTGAGTTGGGGTTAGGGTTATGTCAGAAAACAGGGAGATATTGGCAGTTTTGAGTCTCATTCATGAAAAATTCATTTGATTTGTTTATTTTTAGTCTGATTAATAGCTCACTAAACACAGTCATACTGTGACTTAAGTAATTCACTCATTTCTTTGTTGTCATCAGTGTAGGTTCTATCTCCATTAACCAAAGGCCCGATACTAGAGATGTTTTGCCTTGAATTTTGCATGAGAAAATATTTGGTATTTTTTTTTTAATTTCACTAATGGCTTTTTACTTCTCTGTCTCTTCTGGACTTTGCATTCAGTTTGAGGTCAGTGATCTCCATTTCTCTAACCAGAATTTCATTTTATTCCTCAGAAAGTCAACAGCTTTTGGGAAATTCTGTGATTCTTAGTCTCCACTTGTAGACAGAGCCTCTTTCTAACTTGCATTTCTTTTTTTCTTAACCCTTTGACTGTCGAGACCCCAAATCCTAAAGGCTCTCTCTCTCTCTCTCTCTCTCTGTCGCAAAATATTCGAAAAAAAAAAAAAAATCTTATAAAATGATAAACTTCTCCTGATGGTAATGACACCAAAAGTACAAAATCTGATGGAAAACTTACGGAATTAAGCTCTCACGAAGTTAGCGATCTCGGCAATATATACGCATTGGCAATTTCGCCCACTTTGAGCCCTATTTTCTGCCAATTCCATTGTTCCAGTCGACCAAACTCATAGTTATTTCACTAGAACTCCATTTGTTCTATCAACTGAGTACAAGAAACGGCCCATTTACCGATTTTAACTATGCAATAAAGTGGTCAGAAATTGGCAATTTGGCCAACTTCACGCATATTAAAAAGAGGTGCCAATTTCACGCATATTAAAAAAAGGTGCCAATTTCAAAATAAGGTCCAGAATAAATAATGCAGACATTCCCAACACTAAAATAACATTTTTCTCTGTTCATTAGTCATGTCTCCAGGCCCCTCTTATATTACTCTTGCTTTCTATTTTGAATTTTTATTCAAACAAAAAAATAGAAGATTTACTGTTATGCAGACTACTGCATTATTGTAATAATTGTATAAATAATGTCAACCCATTCATGACTGTGTATTAGAATAGCCAGTTGGACATGTACTGGATGGCGACGTCATTTGTTTACTCTTGAATATCGGCAAAAATCGAACATTTCCGCTACTTTGAGCTAAATTTCAAGGTCCTTTTCATCACGAAACCAAACAAAATCATCCCTATTTCTGTAATATATCTTCCATTCTATCAAATGAGACCAAGAAAACGAGAATATAACCATAAATATTATAAGAAAATACATCTCGAAGTTGACGTTTTAATAAAATAGAGAGGTTTTTTTTATGTCATTATGCACTGCATGCTGCACGATTTTTTTTATACTGTGCACAAAGATCACACAGATCCATTCTCTCACATGTGGGCCTACCAACTTTCTCCCGCTTGATTTGAAGCCGCTAGAATTTTGGCGTACTAATACGTCAAAAACACTGATTCGTAAGACATATAGATATGACACCGACAGTCAAAGGGTCAATGGCACATATCTGGAGCATATTATTAGTGCCACTGAGCTCATCCTCCAAATTACTCAAACTATCTTCCCAGCACAGGTCAGTATGGTCATGATTTATTTGATCTCGGTTAGTGCTTTTACGGAAAATACTCTCATGACATGTTGTAATTTGCTCCTCAAGACCAGTGTATATGCAGGTCTGAATTTCAATTAAGTTGTGGTCTGAGTTTGCTGTGTTCAACACCATTATATTCTGCACCAGAGCCTCATTAGCCTGATGGCTAAAGCTCTCACTTCACACGGCGAGGGTCCTGGTTTGATTCCCGGTGAGGGTAGAAACATTGAGCATGTTTCTTTACATCAGTTGTCTATGTTCCTCATCAGTAAAATGGGCACCTGGGAATTAGTCGACTGGTGAGGGTTGCATCCTGGGACAAAACTGACCTAATTTGCCCGAATTGCTCAGCATAACAAGCGACTTTCTATGTAGTAGCATGTCACTGATGTCAGCTAGGACTGTATACCTTGTACATGTAGAAATAAAGTTATTATTATTATTATTCTAGCTTGGCTTATGCCACTGTTTGCTGGCTTGAGCAAAAAAAACTCTAGATTAGCAAGTTTCCAGAAGCATGGTAAAGTAATGGAAAAGACATAAGAATTAAAGATTGTGAAAGGTTGGAATTAAAATACAATTACTCCTAACCCGTCTTTTAATAAGATTTGAAAGACTGGGAAAGCCTATGGCAGTATACATTGCTGCCTAAAGAGGTACGCTATACAGTGCATGAATGTAGTTGGCCAATTGTGTTAAGAGGTTTCAGTTCCAACAGAAGAAAATGCAATATAATTTACGATGTATAGGAATGTACAGTATACAGAATTATGTACTAATAAACCCAATAAAAGCACTAATAATGGTTTTAAGTACACACAGTAATCAGGTAATTGTGCACAAGTCCCAGTAACCGATCTTAATACAGATTTTTGGTTCAATCTTATAATCGTACAATTTTACCAGAGAATGGGCACAATTCCCTCAAAAATGGAAATCCAGTATTACTGTACTCTATTACCAGTTCAGTAAAAAAAATATGCCAATTTCAATATTTATGGAAATACAGCCTTGAAAATATTTTTTTTAATAAACTAAGCAAACTTGTACTGAATGATATGAAACTGCAAAAACTGTCAAAAATTATAAAAAATAAAACCTGAAATTGTGAAAATTATAACAAATTATGAAAATAAAACCTGGAATTGCAAAGATTATCACAAATTATGAAAATACAATCTGAAAATGCAATTATAAAAACAACCCAGAATTAATATTTTAGCACAATTCTTTAAGAGTAGAAAATTAACATTGACCACCCTTGGCAGGCAACTGCCATGGGTGGGAAATCAAACCATATACTTATACATTATAGAAATGTAGGTTTTCCCCAACTCCCTCCACACACCTTTGACACCAATATAAATCCTGACCAAATGTACATGATTATTTTATACATTAACAGTAAACATTTAAAGTATTTAAAGAGATCTTACATAAACACAGACTAATTTTCCTTATTGATAAATTTAAGTTCATTACCCTATTTATACCTTTATAAAAATTTAACATACTGCACTTAAAAGATAATACAGGTACTTTATAATTTAAAATTAACATTAGAGTATGGCTTCACAAATTTGGCTTGCAAGCTGATCCTGAAGATGCTTGCAAAATCCTCAGAAACCACTAATTCTGTGGGAAAAATTTGGCATCAAGGTTTCCAAAGTAAGTGTGTTTTTTTGCATGCCATTAATTCAGCCTCTGAATTAGGATATTATGCATGTATATCAGAGCAATGAAGAGCCACTACAGAAGCTTCGTGCATCACTTGCTGAAAAGAATTTCTGTACTGCTGTAGTGGTGGAGGGGTTAAGCAATGAGGATGTAATCCACAGTCTACGATAATCTGTTGTTTTGATTAAAGATTCATGGGATAATATGTTATATCACTGAAGAGTTCTTGGCACTGGCAAAATTACAGTATAATGAATACATGATGATTAAATCAACAGGGGAGTTTGGAGGCTCCTGTATAACAACAGAAATGTGAGAACAACAGAACTATTATGCTACTGACAGCAAATGAAAGTCACGGTACACTCAATTCCACTCAACAACCTAGTGGCAGATGCTGCAGCATTAAAGAACCCAAAGACAACCAGCAAGCATAAAGGACAGCACATAAGAGAAAGAAATAAAGTGTAATTACCAATTTTTTACAAAATGCAAGGTGCAAAAGGAAATTACATGGACAGGAGGCCTAAGGGGGATGGGAAATGCCAGAGAAAGCCACCAAAGAGACAGCAATCTAGAGGAAAAGCCAGACAGACAGAAAACGGGTACATGCATGGGAGAGAAAATGTGTGGAGCTGCCAAGGTATTATAACAGAAAGGAGACAAAGTAAGATGGAGTCATCAATACAGAAATGGAATAATCCTTAATGGCGCAGAGTGAGACCAATAGACCTGGGGAGTAAGAACAAGGAGATTCAGGAAATGAATCTTTGCAAAACACAAGACAATTCCAGATGTTTCCAATGAATCTTTAATAATAATAATAATAATAATAATAATAATAATAATATAATTTATCTTTTTCTACAAGTACATGTACAAGGTATACAAGCCTAGCTGACGTCAATGACATATTACTATATACACTTGTTATGCTGAGCATTTCGGGCAAATTAGGTCAGTTTTGTCCCAGGA